GGCGAGACACGCAGGCTGGGCCTCGGTCTCCCCAGCCCTCAGCCCTTCTCGGCCCGGGTGCCCAGACCCGGACCCGGGCCTCGGGACCTGGGCGGTGCCCGCGGGCAGCGGGGGGGGGGGACGGGGGGCATCCTCAGGCTGGACAAGGCAGGCAGCTGAGTTGGTTTGTCGCTGTTGTCTGTGCTCCTCCCGCTCCGCCTGTCTCCTGGGTGCGGCTTGTGGGCCTGGGTCACCCCTGGCCGCCGCAGACCACGAGTGCCCCAATAACCACTCCAGGGTTCCATCTTCCAAAAGACGGCGTCTTGGAATTCTCTCCTTACAACACGCCTTTCTCCTTGGCTCGATCACCAAGCAAACCCTCAAAACAACGCACACAAGGCTCATGGCACCCCCCCCCCATCTTCTCCTCCGTGGAGACTTGCCAGGGGGAAAGCCCAGAGAGGTAGAGCAGTTTGCCTGAGGACACACAGCTCCATCCTTTGGGGCTCTAAAAGCCGGGTGTGCCGTTGTTTGCACTATGAAGGTCAGAGGTCACAGGCAGGAGACGTGTGCTACACGCGCGTGCTGGGCATCTGGGCCAGCGGGGCCCAGCTGTCCGCCAGCAAAACCCCGGCCTCGCCACGCCTCCCCCATGACGGCTGAGCCTCAGCCAAAGCACCCGTGTGGTGCCTGGGGTGCCAGCAGCCACCTGGACCCCAGGAGACACCGGCTGTTTATTAGCCCAGGGTGGGGGGGACAGGAGGGGTCCCCATCCACCCACCCCCACCCCCCAGGCTGTGGGCGGGGTTCGCAAGAGCCCAGGCTGCTCCTCTCCCCCGCCCCGCAGTGCGTGACTCAGTGTCCCCAGGGTAGCCTTTGTATGATGGACCAGGCCAGAGACGAGGCGGGCAGACACGAAGACAGCGAGAGGTGGCCCCTGCTGCGGTGTGGAGAGGCGGAGGGGGCGGGCTGCGCTGCCCGGGCCTTGGCAGGGGGGCAGGGGAGCTGCCCGGGCCTTGGCAGGGGGCAGGGGGGCAGGGGAGCTGCCCGGGCCTCGGCAGGGGGGCAGAGGAGCGTGGTGCTGGCACAGAGCGTCCGGGGCTCTGCAGCAGGACGCGAGACCCTGCCTCGAAAACCCGCACCAAAGGAAGTGACACAGAAGAGCCGCCTTAAATAATTGATGCGCTGGCGCAAGGACCGGGGGACGCTTCTCCTCCAGCGGCAATTGTGCATCGAGGCGGTGCAGAGCTGCCCTTTCCGGGCCACCGGGGAGCCGGCCTTTCTTAAAAATAGAAGCGTCCTGAGCAACCTCTCTCCAGAGGTCGTCTTCTGCACAGGTCGGGGGAGGGAGTCAGAACTTCTCACCAGCTGCCGGGGCGGCGATGGTGCGGGACAGAGCACCGGCCACCTGGCAGCTCCCGCGCCCTTCCCAACCAAGAGCAGGGGGAAGGGAATGAGAAGGCGAAGAGCAAAGGCCCTGGGGGGGATGGAGTCGCCATTCCTTCCTGAGCTCCAGGAAGACTGGATCTCACAGAGCCCCTGACCCTTAGACACCGTGTTCCTGAGTCTGGGCCAGACAAAGGGGGGCCCACAACCCCTGCCCGTGGTTCTCAGAACAAATACTGAAAGACACAAGTGACCGGGTGCTGGGAGCCTGTAATCTTAGCTACTCAGGAGGCTGGGATCATGGTTGGAGAGCAGCCTGGGCAGAACAGTCTGTGAGACTCTATTTCCAGTTAACAGCCAAAAGCCAGGCGGGCAGTGTGGCTCAAGTGGCGGTGGAAGCCTTTGGACTGGCTTCTTGGAGCCTGGGGATGACTTAGTGAGGGGAAGGTTTCTCTGCTGGCACAGTGTGGAGGTAGCTCAAACACCACACACGGTGCAGCAGCAGCCACTTTGTGATCACAAGGTGACCTTATGGGCAGAAGCAGAGGTGGAGAAAGCCTGCAGGCCTGTCCAGCGTGGACTGGCCCTCAGCCTCCACTGCTGACCAGACAGCTGTGTGGAGGCCAGAGCGCCTTATGTGCTGGAGCTCCTCTCAAGAGAGTCTGCTCAGGCAGCTTACGTCGTCGGTTCCCATGGGAGCAGGAAGAGGCCCTGCTCGGAGGGAGGGAGGGGTGCCCCGGCCTCGGGGGCGCAGAGCGGAGGGGTGCCCCGGCCTCGGGGGCGCAGAGCGGAGGGGCGGCCCGGCCTTGGGGGCGCGGAGCGGCCGCGCTCCGGCTCCCGCCACGAATGGACACGGCTAACGATGAGATGCAGCGCACGCTGCGACAGTGCTGTGACCGTGGCTTCGCTCTGACACCTCAGTCACCAGGCGGTGGTGCGGGTCATGGGGCCTGAGACACACACGCGTGTGCGGGTGGTCATGGGGCCTGAGACACACATGCGTGTGCGTGGGGGTACATGGGGCCTGAGACACACACGCGTGTGTGGGTGGTCATGGGGCCTGAGACACACGCGTGTGTGGGTCATGGGGCCTGAGACACACGCGTGTGCAGGGAGTCATGGGGCCTGAGACACACGCGTGTGTGGGTCATGGGGCCTGAGACACACGCGTGTGCGGGTGGTCATGGGGCCTGAGACACACGCGTGTGCAGGGAGTCATGGGGCCTGAGACACACACGTGTGGGGCGGGGCAGCACCGAGGCCCAGGCCAGCCTGGCCGGAGCTGCAGGAAACCCCACGCAGCCCTTCCTCTCCACATGGTCCTGGGAGGCAGGGAGGGAGGCAGGGAGGGAGGGAGGAGGCAGGGAGGAAGGGAGGGAGGCAGGGAGGGAGGGAGGAGGCAGGGAGGGAGGGAGGAGGCAGGGAGGAAGGGAGGAGGCAGGGAGGGAGGAGGAGAGGGAAGGAGGGAAGAAGG